ATAAATTAGAATAATTATTGATATTTAAATGAATATTTTTCAGGAGTGCTACTGAGAGGCTTCATTTGATTGCCTCCGCATGTCATTTCTTTGCTCATGAATGGATCTTTTCCGTCGTGTCATTATGTGTGTTTCTGCTCGTCACTCACCACAGACCGAGTCTTTCTGCCCGAAATAAGCCGCATCGAACAGATGATCCGCCGTCTTCTCAAAGGACGCCAGCATGAGAACGCTCTCCTTCATCTTGGCCAGACCGAAGCGGGTGATGCCCAGAATCTCACCCTACGACCCAAGAGACGCTCTCATCTCACTCACAGTCATGAATCCATCACTCAGCATCATTATAATGCATTTATCGCTTCACAATCTCCTTCAGCAGCTGAACTCAACTCACCTTATAAGACATGAGGTCCGCCAGCAGCATGACGTGTCTGCGGTCGATGCTCATACCGTGGTTTACCATGGTGTACTGGATCTCGTTAATGATGGTGGACCTCGCCGCTTCGATGCCTAACGTCCTCTCGACCTGAAGAGCACGATCAGATCATCAAAAACACTACAGATATGAATTAACATCTTCACAAACAATAGACAAGCTGAACATGACAGCTGTGCAACTTGAAAAAAACAACAATTTTGCTGATTTGCAAGAAATATTACTCCTCATATTACCTTATTTGATGATGCAGAGATATTCAAAAATATCAATAATAATTTTCCATCATGTACAGTTTTTACAAAATAAGAATGGAGATTTTTCAAATTGCATATGTATTGGCTTCAATGCACTTATTAACAACAAAAGCAGTCAAATTTTTTTTAATGACTAAAGGAGGATTTAAAACATTTAACTTTCAATTTGCAGAGTGGAAAAATCTGTTCAAATACTCATTATACAATAACATGAGCTTTTTCACAAAATCTATAATATTTCGTCACTGTATGGAAGCAGTATAACAACCACAGATGAAGCAGAAAACATATGGCTCATGTTTGCATTTTCTAGCCTTGAAATCAACATTAGGCATAAAATAATTATCCTGCAAAACTTCCAAAAAATTCTGTCATGTTTCCAGAAATTTCTGCCACTTCACAACCCTTAAACTAATGTCATGCATGTGAAAATGGGCTGAGAGTTGAACAGATCGTTATAATGTGGCTCAGATTCAGACAGGAATCATGTGTTTGTGGTGTTTGTCTGACAATTAAGGGATAAATAAAGACTTCTTCACCCAACAAATGGTTGTAAAAAGCAAAAATGCTATGAAATGTATCATATTTTGTGAGAAAGTGTGACCTGCTCAACCAAAACTGGCCATTTTTAGAATCAGCAGCTTAAAATTAGTATTAGTATTTCATTCAGCAGATATGATGTGATTTAAAGGATTCACTTCTGCAGTGCTGCCCATGTTAAAGACTGTTTAAATGTCACTCTGAAGGAGACACTGAGGAGCGTGATCAGCTCGATCTGTGTGTGTGTGTGTGTGTGTATCTCTGACAGTCAGACTGGGCTGTGGGCGGTCTGTACCTCGTATGTGTTGTTGGATGTTGTTCTGTTGCCGTTGACGCCGTGAGTTGCCATGACAGCCCTGAGATTATCTCCCTCCACCAGCAGTTTGAACTTCCGTTTGCCGCTCTGTTCGTCGATGTGAATGACAGCACGCGCCACTTCAGGGATGCCCTGGACCACCACCTGCACACACACACACACGCACGCACGCACGCACGCACGCACGCACGCACGCACGCACGCACGCACGCACGCACGCACGCACGCACGCACGCACGCACGCACGCACGCACGCACGCACGCACGCACGCACGCACGCACGCACGCACGCACGCACGCACGCACGCACGCACGCACGCACGCACGCACGCACGCACGCACGCACGCACGCACGCACGCACGCACGCACGCACGCACGCACGCACGCACGCACGCACGCACGCACGCACGCACGCACGCACGCACGCACGCACGCACGCACGCACGCACGCACGCACGCACGCACGCACGCACGCACGCACGCACGCACGCACGCACGCACGCACGCACGCACGCACGCACGCACGCACGCACGCACGCACGCACGCACGCACGCACGCACGCACGCACGCACGCACGCACGCACGCACGCACGCACGCACGCACGCACGCACGCACGCACGCACGCACACACGCACACAGACACACACGTGCAGACACACGCACACACACACAGACACGCGCAGACACACACGCACACACACACAGACAGACACATGCACACACACACGCAAGCACAAACACACAGACAGACACACGCACACAAACACACGCGTGCACACACAGACACACGCAACTTCTTGTTCAACTTGTTCAATTAGCAAATACACACATTTTGGTTAAAGAAAGATGGGTAGTTCTTTACAATATGGTTCAATTTGTTAACATTAGTTAACTACATTAGTTAGGAACAAACAGTGCATATTTAGACTACGTAATCTAGGTTTGTTAATTTCCATATGACTTTTTATTTCTTATATTTTAATAAGAAATAAGAATATATTTTAATAAGAATAATTGTAATTAAAAAAATTATTTAGCTTTGAATTTCAGTTTTAGTCATTTCAGTACTTCAACAAACATTTAAACCTAGGTTTAGCAACTTACATATTAGGTTTAAGTTTATTTTAGTACTATTTATATACCATTACATTATTTATTAATTTAAATCAGCTTATTTTCAGATTGCATTTTAATGCTAGTAATTTTATGTGCGTTTGTTATTTTTAATTTTTTCTATTTTTAGCTTTAAATTTATTACAGTTTTAGTAGTCTTCAACAAACTTCTTTTGAGTTATTTGCCAAAGCAACATTTCAAATTTTTGTTTAAGCTCTTTAAGTTTAGTTTTTTTCCCATCTAATATTTATATTTTATTTCACCTTTACTTCAAATCAAAAAGTGTTTAATACAGTAGTTTCAGTCTACACATACATTTTTAACATTTCAAATTTAATAAATAATATATTTGCACATAAATGAATTAACGGTGTGTTTCTAAATGAACACTAACCCTAGTAAGCCTGCTGTAAAAAAAATAAATCGTTCACTGCTGGTTCATGAAATCTAATGCATTACCTATTTTTAAGAAATTAAACCTTTTTAAGTGCTACAGATATATGCACGTATAAGGACCAATTCTCATTATTAACTAGTTGCTTATTAGCATGCCTATTAGTAACATATTGGCTGTTTATTAGTGCACATATTCTGCATGATCATATTCTGCATCCCTAATCCAACCCAATACCTAAATTTAACAACTACCTGACTAACTATTAATAAGCAGCAAATTAGGAGATTATAGAGGCAAAAGCTGTAGTTTAATGGTTTGTTAATAGCGAGCATTGAACCTTAAAATAAAGTGTGACCTTTTTTTTTTTTTTTTCCAATAGTACATGGTTTTTAAATACAATTATGATGGCAATAGGGTCAGTGTCTAACACTGTGGCGTCAGGACTGACCTTAGGAAGCTCCTGTTTGAGTGACTGCAGGACGTAGTACATGGAGCTCTTGCTGTTTTCTTTGGGAGACACGCAGACCACAGCCTCTCCGTGAACCGCGATATCGCCCGGCTTCACCCGCAGCTTTGACGTACAGATGGAGTATCGCACCGTCTCTGCGTTCACCTGAGCAGAACAAAACATCAATACGACTCTATAAACCTCTGCAGAGGAGGATCATCACTGTGTGACAAGAAAATCAGTCAATTAAATTCACTCAGCAGGAACAGCTGCTGAGAGAGAGAAAATACAGCAATGACAACGGCAGAACTATCAAAATAAATGAGTGAAAATCCAGAGACCGATAAAAACACTGATGCTAGAGGAATCATTTTGAGCTCCGGTCTGTCATTAACAGATAATTATGATCAATCTGCCGTTACCTCCAACCTCAGAAGACGAATCCTCTCTAGCGACAGCTTCACCAGGATGAAACAATCATCAGGCAGGAAAACCTCCTCGATGTACTCGGAAATCTGACAGAAATTATCAATCAATTCACTGATTAATATGAAAACAAGACGACAACATAATACACAAACCACCAACATACTGGCTCCATCTCAAAAATATGTATGCATTGCCTTTCCGTCTACTGTAATGTTAAAGTTTTCAAAACTGGTATTAGTTTCTCCACAAAGGACATGCTCAAAGTTGCTTTATAATTTAGGTAAAAGGGATCCTACTTTTCCTGAAAGCCTTATAATGACTTTATATTCCTCTCAAATTTTTGGAGCCGTTTCTGTGACATTAAACATGAATGAAAGGCATTTCGATGCAGAACCCTGCACTTCAGACTCACTCAGATCAAAGGTCAAACAATCTGACACCCATTTCAATCATGCGCATACTGAATATAAACCGAAAAATATCTCATGCTACAGGCCAGTGAGGCCATCATTTTCCCACACTGTTCTGCATTTCAAAGACAAATGCATTTTCTGAAGTAAAAGTGGTGTTCATGCTAAAATTTTCACCCCCACAATCCTAGGACATTCTGAGGTATTCAAACTATTTTCAATGCATTGATACAGTATGATGTTCTGGGTGGTTGCCAGGGTGTTGCTAAGGTGTTCTGAGTGTAATTTAATGCTTTGCTCTGCAGCTGGCATGTTTTGGGTGGTTGCCAGGGCGTTGCTATGGGGTTGTTATAGTGTTTTGAGTTCATTTAATGCATTGCTCTGCAGTTGGCATGGTGTTCTGTGTGGTTGCCAAGGTGTTGCTAAAGTGTTCTGAATAATCTTAATGGATTGCTATAGCATACACTTGACATGATGTTCTGGGTGGTTGCTAGGGCATTGCTATGAGGTTGCTAAGGTGTTCTGAGTGCATTAATGCATTGCTCTGCATTTGGCATTGTGTTCTGGGTGGCTGCCAAGGCGTTTCTAAGGTGTTCTGAGTGTTTTTAATGGATTGCTACAGTAAATATTTGACAATGTTCTGGGTGGTTGTGTTTTGAGTTCATTTAATGCATTGCTCTGCAGATGGCATGGTGTTCTGTGTGGTTGCCAAGGTGTTGCTAGAGTGTTCTGAATAATTTGAATGGATTGCTATAGCATACTCTTGACATGACGTTCTGGGTGGTTGCTAGGGCATTGCTATGACGTTGCTAGGGCATTGCTATGAGGTTACTAAGGTGTTCTGAGTGCATTAATGCATTGCTCTGCAGTTGGCATTATGTTCTGGGTGGCTGCCAGGGCGTTTCTAAGGTGTTCTGAGTGTTTTTAATGCATTGCTTTGCAGTTGGCATGTTTTGGGAGGTTGCTGGGGTGTTGCTAAGGTGTTCTGAGTGTTTTTAATGGATTGCTACAGTATATGTTTGACATGACGTTCTGGGTGGTTGCTAGAGCATTGCTAAGGTGTTGTGTGTGTTTTCATTGGCTTGCTCAGCAGTTGGCATGTCTTTGGTGGTTGTCAGGGTGTTGCTATGGCGTTGCTAAGGTGTTCTGAGTGTAATTTTAATTCATTGCTCTGCAGCTGGCATGTTTTGGATGGTTGCTAAGGTGTTGCCAAGGTGTTATGAGTTTTTAATGCATGGCTATGTGTTTGTCATGGTGTTCAAGGTGGTTGCCAGGGCGTTGCTTTGGGGTTGCTAAGGTGCTTTGAGCATATTAAATGCACTTCTCTTCAGTTGGCATGGAGTTCTGGGTGATGGCAGGGTGTTGCTAATTCAATGCACGTCTAATTCAATCGTGTGCATTCTAATTTCACTCCTAACAGGAAGCATGACCAATAGCAATACTAATGCAGTATTAATAATCTGCACAAGTCAAACTCAGCGCACCTCTCCCAGTAGAGTTTTCTCAATGCGTCCTTTCACCAGCCGAGCGAAGTCTGGGTCATCATCGGTATCCAGGTTGGCACTTATGATGGGTGTACTGAGACACAGAGAGACTCATTAGCAATAAGAACTGGAGTTACTGCAGCCATTAATCATCAGTGAAACGTCAACAGCAGCAATCACGCCAACACTCCTCCACGCAACCGTGAGGATGACAGGAGGCTTCTGCCTCTGATTGACAAATAAGTTTTCCTCTTTCAGGGGTCGAGATCAAACTCTCATGAATCGATGGCACTTGTGTCAGCTGCTGCACTTACAGTCACCTGCACGTCTATAATTTCCACAGGGTCTTTTCCAGAGTCTAGAAATTCTGTATTGCTATTTTGTGAAGGTTGTTTTCAGGTCAGTTTCAGGTCTGTTTAAAGGATTTTAGGTTGGCTTATGGTTATGGTTTATTATGAAAAATACTTCAGAGTTTACTAATACAATGGTATATCAGATGGTAATACCACAGCACATTATCATATTTATGTACCATAGTATTTATATGGTACTCAATGGTATATAAAAATAGTGAAGAAATAAAGAATAGTTAAGCAATAAAAAGTAGTTTAGCTGAATATAAAATAAAAAATAATATTTACATATTTTTAAGATATGGACATGGAGTAAAGAACATAAAAAATATTAATTAAATAATATTAATTATAATTCATTAATAAATATAATTATAAATTTAAATTAAAAAAATAATACAAATTTAAAATAATAATGAATAATATTTATTTATTATAAAAAATTAAACTCAAAAATACAATCTAAAAATCATTACTTTTAATTTCCAGTCCTGAAAACAATTCAATTCAGTTTATAGGCCCTATATAATTTAAAATTTCTATATAAATATAATCTATATCAAATTTCTAATTTAAATATAAATATAATCTACATATAAACTATAAGTTTTTTTCTGTATAAATAATAATTTAAATGCTGCCTTGACAATTTACTGAAATAAAGTAAGTTTTAAGTTCAAGTATTAAAACAAAAACTGAAATAAATTTTTATTTCAAACATTTAAAAATGATTCGAAAGGACAAAAGCACAAACGATTACTCAAACTAAAATTAAAATACAATTTAGAGTCTATTATTTTTACATTATCATAAATAATCAAGTTTATTCACTATTAAAAAAAAGTATATTCACTATAAAAAAAAATAAATCCAGGTTTTCAAGGTGTGTCAGGGTTTCTGAAGTCACCTGATGTTTTTGGATGCATTGATGATCTCTTTGATTCTCGGGACTCCCAGAGTGATGTTCATGGAAGCGACTCCAGCGAAGTGAAACGTCTTGAGGGTCATCTGAGTCCCCGGCTCCCCGATGCTCTGAGCACACAGCGCCCCGACGGCAGAGCCCGGCTCCATCTGTGCCCTGAGCATCATACAAATCATGTTAAAACCATTTCTGTCTCTCAACAGTGGTTAAATCATCTCTATACTAGGCTTGCCGCGATAGACGGTGCTGACGGTGATACCGGTGTTAAGCCGCAACACCGGTTACGTCACTTGCCCACCGCGGCACCGTCGATTTAATTTTTAATAGTAATAAAAATAATTTAGTTCAGTAAAAGAACAGACACTACAATTACAAACTGAATGCGGCTGCTCAATGCAGCGTGCCGAACGACAGTCGCATCACAGATCAGATTTCATTTCTCCAGTGAGGAGAGTGAGTCGAGCTGACTGACCAGAAGAGTGCGGTGAGACAGACAAGA